CTGAGATAACTTGCCAAGGTATTTAAAAAGCAAATACAGGTGGCTTTCAATATTCTTGCTATGATAAGGATTCCATGCCTTCACTGTGCATTCAGCTAAACATCTGAGGAAGAATTTTAAGAACAATATTTCACAGTAAAACTGACACAATTTTCATTAGTAACAAAGAAACTTGGGGATTCTGTGCAACAAGAAATGAGACCCAGCATTAAGTTCGATCGTGAAAAAATGCCCCTAGAATGTACAGTATGTGCCTTCTTTCTGTTTCATGACTGATGTGTGTAGTCAGCCTTCAGAACAGGCATTATTTTGGGGAGTAAGTGCCTGGTATTTTCTTAGAGAAAATTACACTGCTATCTTTGACTCTTGCAGGAGTGGAAGGCTTGGGAGAGAAAAATTTGTATCAATGGGGTGAGCAATGATCACAGTGAAGGAGAAGGATGGGGGTGGGGCATAGAAATTTCTTGCAAGCTCCCCCCCTCCCACCATTCAATCTAGCTCTCAATCAAAGAAATGGTTGCTCACATGCCCCAATAAGACATCTTTACAGCAGGTTTAGTGAGTAGTATGTTTGATATTGCATTGAAAAGCAAATATTCCCATTAAAGTAATGACCAATTAAAAGTGTCAGTTGTGGAATGTTGGTTGATTGAACACTAACTTCTCAGAGGTTGAATCCAAAGAAATACAAGACAGACAATTCATCGAATGTCTCAGTAAGCTAGTAGATAAGTGTACATATTCTCATTACCTGTTTGCTGGATAGTGTAAGGCTATTGTGAGGAGAAGTAACTTGTTTATTGTTCCGACAGATTTAATAATTAATTATCTATACTGGATTTTGTTATTATAGGCAAGCACCTTGCAGAGGTGTGTCATGAAAAGTACCCCTGCCAAGATACCTGGTATCATTCTTTGGACTATGGTTAAAATTGCAATCATTGTCAGGGACATGCAGGTAAGCCTTCTTGTTGTGTTCCCAGCATGTTGAGTTCACCAGGTCAACCATAGTGAAGAACCGGACGGACAGTGGACTCTTAGTCAGTCGTTTATTGGACTAAATCATTTAATCAGTCTAGCCGACTTGTTACAACACTTGTGGTGAAAACTAAAAAGGAATGCAGGATTTGTCTAAGGTAAGAAAACAAGCTAAATTACAAATATGATGCCAGGGAACACAACCAAAAACTAATAGAAATTTAGCGATCGTAACTCATATCTGATCTTGGCTTTGGGGATGAGAAAACTCCAAGTTGTAAAAAAGACTCTATCCATTGAGCTTACCACCTCCCGGTTAGCTCAATGGATAGAGCAATGGACTGTTGTGCGGGAGGTCGAGGGTTTGAGCCCCGGCCGGACCAACACCCAAAGTCTTAA